GGGCACGTTTGGGGTGCAACATGCACATGTGGGTGCAATATGCACGTACTGCAGCGGGCACGTTTGGGGTGCAACATGCACATGTGTGCTGCAGTGTGCATGCATGTGCTGCAGTGCGCATGTGTGTGAAAAGGCATGCATGTGCCGCAGCAGACACGTGTGTGCTGCAGTGCGCATGTGTGTGCAGCCTGGCGCAGCACAGTGCCCCCTGCACCCATGGGTGCCCTGTCCATGCCACCCACCAGCAACGCAGCGTAGCGGTGCGGTGCCCCATGCACACCCGTGGGGGTTACCGTGCACCCTGTGCACACCGGTGCATGCTCCCTGCACCCCGTGCACGCTCCCCGCGCCCATGGGTGCCCCCCACCCGTGTCACCCACCAGCAGCGCGGCGTAGCGGCGCGCGCCCGCCGCCCGGTGCAGCGCCGTGGCCCCGTCGCGCGCGCGGAAGTCCAGGTGGGCGCCGCCCAGGCTCAGCAGCCGGATGATCTCCACGTCGCCGGGGCCGTCCCGCTGCGCCGCCAGCGTCAGCGGCGTCTCTGCGCCCAGCGCGTCACCACGCGGCCCCGCGGGGACAGCGGCGGCCCCGGGGACATCGGGGCGCACGGGGGCATTGGGGCCATTGGGGCACAGGGGGACATCGGGGACATGAGGGCACGCGGGGACATTGGGGCACACAGGGCCATTGAGGGCATTGGGGCGCACGGGCACATCGGGGCACGCAGGGACATGGGGGCACGCAGGGACATTGGGGGACATTGGGGCACATGCGGATATTGGGGCACATGGGGACATTGGGGCGCATGGGGACCTCAGGATGTCCAGGGATCTTGGGGCATCAAGGGACATCGGGGAGCACAGGGACATCGGGGAGCGCAGGGACATTGGGGTGCACAGGGACATCAGGGAGCACAGGGACATCGGGGCACCCAGGGACACTGGGGTGCACAGGGACATCAGGGAGCACAGGGACATCGGGGAGCGCAGGGACATCGGGGCACCCGGGGACACTGGGGTGCACAGGGACATCGGGGCACCCGGGGACACTGGGGTGCACAGGGACATCAGGGAGCACAGGGACATCGGGGTGCACAGGGACATCGGGGAGCACAGGGACATCGGGGTGCACAGGGACATCGGGGTGCACAGGGACATTGGGGAGCACGGGGACATCGGGGCACCCGGGGACATCGGGGCACCCGGGGACATTGGGGTGCACAGGGACATTGGGGTGCACAGGGACATCAGGGCACCCGGGGCCATTGGGGTGCACAGGGACATAAGGGCACCCGGTGACATTGGGGTGCACAGGGACATCGGGGAGCACGGGGACATCGGGGCACCTGGGGACATTGGGGTGCACAGGGACATTGGGGAGCACAGGGACATCGGGGTGCACAGGGACATCAGGGAGCACGGGGACATCAGGGAGCACGGGGACATCGGGGAGCACAGGGACATCGGGGAGCACAGGGACATCGGAGTGCACAGGGACATCAGGGCACCCGGGGACACTGGGGTGCACAGGGACATCGGGGAGCACAGGGACATTGGGGAGCACAGGGACATCGGGGTGCACAGGGACATCAGGGCACCCGGGGCCATTGGGGTGCACAGGGACATCGGGGAGCGCAGGGACATCGGGGCACCCGGGGACACTGGGGTGCACAGGGACACTGGGGAGCACAGGGACATCGGGGAGCGCAGGGACATCGGGGCACCGTGGGCACCCAAGGGGCAGGGGGTGTCCCTGGGGCAGGGCTGTCCCCAAGGCTGGGGTCGATGTCCCCAAGGTCGTCAGGCTGTCCCCAAGGGGGGACTGGTGTCCCCCAGGGCGGTGGCCGTCCCCGGTCCCGCGCGGCGCTCACCGCCCGAGTCGGCGTCGTGGTAGTTGGGGTCGAGGCCGCGCTCCAGCAGCCGCGCCACCTTGTCGGCCGCGCCGTGCTGCACGTAGTCCAGGAACTTGCGCAGCCCCGTCTGCAGCAGGGACACCCCGGGGACACCGGGGGGACACCCCGGGGACACCGGGGGGACGGGGTGGCACCCAGGGACACCCCGGGGACACCGGGGGGACGGGGTGGCACCCAGGGACACACTGGGGACACTGTGGGGACGGGGTGGCACCCAGGGACACCGCCATGGGGACACCGAGGGGACGGGGTGGCACCCAGGGACACCCCGGGGACACCGTGGGGACGGGGTGGCACCCAGAGACACATTGGGGACACCAAGGGGACGGGGTGGCACCCAGGGACACCGCCATGGGGACACCGAGGGGACGGGGTGGCACCCAGGGACACCNCCCAGAGACACATTGGGGACACCAAGGGGACGGGGTGGCACCCAGGGACACCGCCATGGGGACACCGAGGGGACGGGGTGGCACCCAGGGACACCGCCATGGGGACACCGTGGGGACGGGGTGGCACCCAGGGACACCGCCATGGGGACACCAAGGGGACGGGGTGGCACCCAGGGACACACTGGGGACACCGAGGGGACGGGGTGGCACCCAGGGACACACTGGGGACACCGGGGGGACGGGGTGGCACCCAGGGACACACTGGGGACACCGAGGGGACGGGGTGGCACCCAGGGACACACTGGGGACACCGAGGGGACGGGGTGGCACCCAGGGACACCGCCATGGGGACACCGGGGGGACGGGGTGGCACCCAGGGACACCCCGGGGACACCGAGGGGACACAGGGACATGGGGACGGCGTGGGGGGACATGGGGACACGGGGACACCCTAGGGCGCAGGGAGCCCCGGGGGTGTGGGGGGACGTGGGGACACCGTGGGACAAAAGGACCCGGGGACCCTGTGGGGACCAGGGGACACCCTGGGGCGCAGGGACATGGAGGGGCACAGGACAAGGGGATGGGGGGGGCAGGACCAGGAGGCGTGGCCCACGGGTGGGGGGCGGGGCCGGGATAGGGCGTGGCCGTGGCAGGGGCGTGGCCAGGGCAGGGGCGGGGCCCACCTTGGTGTGCAGCTTGGCCAGCTGCTTCTCGTCCAGGTTGGTCTGTTTGTAGACCCGGGTCTTGTAGCGGAACTGGGGGAGGAGCCGCGTTAGCCACGCCCCCTCCGGGACACGCCCCCACCATTGTGCCCGCCCCTCCCTTTGAACACCGCCCCTTGGCCCCGCCCACCTCGAAGGAAGCGAATGCCCTGGTTAGCCCCGCCCCGGCTAGCCCTGCCCCCTCACCCCGCCCACTTTGGCCCCACCCACCTCGAGGGCATGCCCTAGTTAGCCCCGCCCCTTCAGCCCCACCCCCTCAACCCCGCCCACCTCAAGGGAGAGCACGCCCTGGTTAGCCCCGCCCCTCCCGCTAGCCCCG